AGTTGTAGCCAGGGGGATGGGGAGGGTAAAGGGGGAGTCAAAGTAAGTCAGGTTCCACTTGATGTGTTTGCAGAGAAAGTGCCGGAACAAGAGGGGACATACATTCTGAAGATCACTTCCGCAATGTTTTGGTTCGTCCAGATGGATTCCTGGCTGGTTTTGTGAGAAATGTGAAGGAAACCTTTGTGGTACCACTGCATACAAGGAGACGATCGATGCCAACTACACTGCCTTCTAAAACAAGAGCACTCGTCAGCTGTGCCGCAGTACAATCCTCAATTCCACTATTTCTGAACTGCAAGTCAAGTCAGTCATTCATGATAAGATTCCTGGAGCGTTGATGGAAGGGCAACGGGAATTGGAGCGTGTCCATGGAGGACGCTGTCCCGCAGCCCGGACCTCACCCACCATCCAGCCCATGCGGCTGCGCGATTAGCTGCTGCGTCGTACAGCCGGGCTGGGGAATCCTGAGGGTCCGGGCGTAGAGGGGAAGAGCCACAACCAAGCACGGCTTACCCTTTCCCCCAGACATCTCCTCTACCGTCCTCTCCTCCAGCTTCCGGCATCCATTTTTCCCTCGCTTTATCAACTCCCCTTTCCTGGAACTTCTCATCGGTTTTTTCGGCATTTCCATTCCAACGACTCCCCCTAGCAACTCCCTTCCAACGAATCCCCAGAACGTACAACTCCCATCAATCCTCGACTCCTCCCCCTCCGAACACACAATGTCAAACCCAAACTCCATACAGTCCCTCAGCGATCGAGTCAAAGACTCATCTCAACAGACAAACAATCCGCAGACACCCAACCAACAACCTAGCCGGATCCCGATCCCAATCCCCTCCCCCACCAGTCAACCCGGTCCTAACGCTGCCCCTAAACCCATCCCCCAGCCGCAAGGCAAAGAGATTAGAACGGCAAGCAACCTCACCCCCATACCAAAAGGGAAAGAACCTACGTCCCTCAAGACGGGAGAACCGGATCCAGCTCTCCAGAGCTCGGTAACCAGGACAACGCTAAAGAACCCAATAGGTAAGCGAAAAAAAAAAAAAAACCCAATTCCAAATGTTGAACACGCGCATAGCTGACAACCAAAAAAAAAAAAAAAAAAAAAGCAGAGATCACAGATGACGGCAACAATCCTCCGTCCGACGCCAGATCAACGAACGCGAAAGCCAGAGAAATGATCCTAGCCAAAGCCGTAAAGGCCCAAGAGGATGGCGACGACGCGAAAGCAGATAGACTGTTCGCGATGTTCGACACACTTTCAAGAGATGACCCAGGAGTTTCAAGCGGAAAAGCGACCAACCTCGCAATCAACGCAGTCTCGGACCAACCCGCCATCAGCAAGAAGAGACCGATCGAAGCTGAAGGCACTACCCAAGTTCGCGGGATCAAGTTTATTTGGGCAAATTCCAACTCCCACGACGACGGAGGTTTTACGCCTTACTTCCACAAGAACCTCCTCGAGCTCAAAGGGCCGATCCCCCTAACGATCTTCAACAGAACCTGGCAGGAGGAGGCCTTATCCCACCACTCCAAGAACAGGCCCAAGACGGAAGAATCCTCGGCCGAGAAGAACCCCCGATATCATGGTTTAGCCGTCCCCGACGAGTGGCTCCAGTCATTCTCGGACTGAACACTGAATCACCAATGCTTCTACGAAACGATCCGCGATAGATACAATTATCCGGTCCTAGCGGAGTGGATCCTTATACACAAGGCCAACTGCGATTGGCTACAGAAAAAGCACGGTTTTATGGTGGCATTACGCTACGACATCAGAATTAGAAACAACGCGTTCGCCTTCAGGGTCGAGAAGGACGGTGAAGAATCATTCTCGAACATCTCCCTCTTCAAGGCAGAAACGGCAGACGACGCCCACTCCGAGTCCAGGAACTTCAACGAGCTTGGCGTAAGGGACAACCCATACGCACTCGGCGGACCACGCTACGGATGGGACCCACACACGGGTCAGAAGTCAACGAAAACACCAACCGCAACAGCATCGGGCAACAACATCAGCAGCGGGAAAACCCCTAACACCGGCTCATCCCATTCGTTTCCCCAAGCTCCGGCAAACTCCTTACCCCCAAAGCCAGACCAGAATAGGCCACCCAGGAGCTCAGGGTACAAAGGCAGAAACTACAACCCCAACCACGGTTCCTCGAGCAGACGCCGCGGCAACGAGTAGGTTTCCTTTCATTTCGTTCCTCTTTCACCCTCATTCCACATCCCACCCTCACTCCCTCCTGCGACACCAAAAAAAAAAAAAAAAGGAGAGAGAGAGGAACTCGCTCCGAACTTCCCCATCCATCACCCTAATTGTATATGCCCTGACTAAGATCTGGGCGGCTTGTGGTTTCAAGGGCGTGTCCGGCCACTCCTTCCGGGTCGGCGGAGCGTCTATTCAAGTGGCCCTGGGCGTCCCAATCAGTGAGATTTGTATCAGAGGCAGATGGGCCTCTGACGCTTACAAGCTATACCTCTGGGACTTCTCAGGAGAAGAGATGAAGAGAACGAACGCGCTCCTAGCTGAACTAGAGAGGTGCTGGATGTACATTCCTACCCCATTAGAGTAATTCAACCTACGTCCCACATTCCTATCCCTATCCTCTTGCACTCTGGGTCTGGCCCTACAGCAGCAGGCAATGCAGGCTCAAAGACCTCTAGGTCGGTTTGAGTATTGGGTCTAGCATTTGCCCCTCCCCCTTTTTGGGGGGTCTCTTTCTGCTCCGGGAGTGCCTTGGCTAGTCCCGGAACCCTCTCGTGTCACCCTGCTCTCAACCCGCCTCTCCGGCGGGAACAGCGGCAGAGTTTCACCGGGTTTCCGGCGAGCACCGCCAGGCACCGGGTCTCAACCCTTGAGACCCTCTCCCCCCAGACCCACACACGGGGAGCTTGGGAGACCACTCCCTGGTCTTCGGGCTCCCCTAGGTGTTTCCCTTGAGAAACACCGAACATGTGAGCATTTAAGAAAAGCACCACTTAGTGTAAAGCCGCGCGGCGCCCGGGCCATCCTGCCCCGCGCAAAGCAGCCTGAACACAGGCGATCCGCAGCTCTTCCCCGTACCTCAACAAGTCCCTAATGGACTACAAATTCTCAGGGCCTCCCAAGGCCTACACTTTCGCTCTAAGCTAAATGCTCTTTCTTTGAAGATGCCACTGTGTTGGTTGTTGGATGCTTCAGAACAATTCTGAAGAAACAACATGATCCTGCTTCCTTGGTATACCTGGCCAAAGCAGTTCCCTTGTTGAAGCACCAATTGCAATCAATTCAGTCCCAGATGAGAATGTTGAAGTCTGAAGATCTGCTACCAATTTGACCAATATTGAAATAAAAAAATGGGCCTGGACGCTCCAAGTATTCCTTGTGACCTAAGTATCTATCCTGGGACCTTAATTGAATGTAACTCAAGCTTGCGAGAGGGGACCAAGGCAAGTCGGGGCCCCACATACTGGGAAGTGGCCTATCTTACAATCACAACAAGTTGATTCACAAATTATTATCAAAATTTTCCCATAATACTCTAGTATTGGAGTTGAAACCCAATCCTTTTCTTTTTGAGATGGCCATTGATATTTAATGAAGAAAGCTACTTGTAACTTGCTGGACATTACAAATAGCAGTATACATGGGTACTTTGCAGACTGAAAACAATTGAAGATCTATGTTTTTGAGACAATACCATTTGAAATATCTTCTGAAACAATTTTCATGTGTCTATTTCTTTGCTATGTGTTGCTGAGGCTACTGGGAATGGGATCCTAATTGTAAATATAAGTATATACATTTGATCAGGACTCTGGAAGAGTTTATCAAAAAAATCAATTGTCATGGATGCTAACCAGCACATATAAGCCTGGCCTGATATCCACTGACTGTCAGTTCACCAAGTGCATGTAAACAAAACAGTCCATGAGGGTTTTTCCGCGAAGCCAACAACAAAATGTTGAGTCTTTGCCCAGGGAAGTATAAAAGTGACTATTGCTCGTTCAGTAGTCCTTGGTACCGTTCTGGAGTGTTTGTCGCGTCCAAAGTACCGAACGAGGAACAAGATCGAGCGGCTGATCGATATACCGCGTCTGACTCGTGTCTTGGTCGAGCGTCGATGATACGCGCAGTCTGTGGTTACTGATCAGAACTCGACGCGACTTGTTGATGGATCGAAAGAGTGACCGGCATGGCGAGTTGAGCCTGATCAGGACATTCGAGATCAGTCGTATAACACCCAAAAAATTCAACCCCGCTTTCCATTGTCTTTCATTTCATCCCTTCAGCCCGTTATATTCAGGAATCTTGTTAAATATCCTGCACTGTCTAGAAAGATTCTAAAGAACATGTTACTTTTACGAATGCTCATAATAGTTAAGTGTCTAGAGCTGCTTTTCTTGCCATTTGATTTGCAGGAATCAGCCGAAATATCTAATTTTTTTTTTTGAATAGGCTTGTGCTGTGATAGTACCCATTTGCGCAACACCCGTCAGGGAGGAACTAGAAGGAGATGGATGGCGAGCCGTAAGAGATTTAGAAGAGGGCGGGATAAGACGACGTATTCCGGGGCCGAGGAAAGCCGTTTTCGAAGGATCCGACCCGGCGAATCCATACCATGACGAGCCGGAGCTCACCGATTTAACATCTTTCGGCAATCAAGCATCCCGATCAGCGGGTCATAATCGTAATCAATTGACGCAGACCGACCGCCCATCAAATACTGAACTGCTTTGGCATTACGGAAAACCAGTAATCGGTAACCTGGCAGCATTGGCCACCCTCATGAATTATTGGCCCGAGCTCTTTGGGACTCGTAAAGACTTATCTGTCTTTGTCTCTCCCGGCTTCTTCCTCTCTATCGGACCTAGTATCTCTTGCTTTTTGATCAATCGCTTCCGTTATAACCGTGTATTAAAACGTTGGGATTGATAGTGGAGTGGCTGAAGTTTTCAAGCTTGTGTTAACTTCCGTGGTTTCTATTTCTTCTTTTAGAGTGCCTTTCTTGTCATTTATCCATTCTAATTTATCAAAAAAAAAAAACTCATTTTCCATCTGAAAATGAATCCATTGGGTCTTGCATGAAATTGTCTCAAATCCTCTTCTTTTTTGATGGATGTCAAATTCTGATGCCCTTAGCCAATTAAACTGTGGCCCAAGATGTTCAAGTGGTCCTTTTCTCTTTGCAACTACTGCAATTATTCAATTCCAATAAAAAGATATGAGCCAAGAATTGTTGACAGCTTGATGTTATGGAAAATACAAAAGATCCACCAACTTTGTATGTAAGCAAAACATCAAAACAAAGCATCATCCATTCTCACTAATCTACAGAATAAAAAAACTCTCTACTTGACCGATTATATTTTTCTTAAAAAACCAAAGAAAACATGGTCAAGCGGCCTGGAAGTTTGCCATCTCCAACAAATCTTTTTACAAGGAGAGAGAAATGTTCAATTTGAGATTGATGGGGCACTTGGGGAAAAGAGTGATGAAGTAAATAAGCAGTGATAGTGAGAGCTCATGTAGGATATACACACTAGGACGGTTCACGTCTAGCATTTTAGCCAGCTGGATGATCAGCCACCAGCTTGCTGGTATTGAAAAAGGCAATAAAATGTATGACAAAGATTGGCCACATCGGCAGTGAACCAGCAGATGGAAACAGCATGATCATTAAACTTGGCTGGGATAACCCCATATATTGAGAGAAAATGATAGCAACCAGTAACCAACAAGCAAGATTCTTTTGGACAAGCTATCAAGTTTATGATAAAATTTTACCAAACCAGCAAAGAGCTGAGCAGCAAACTGGCTGAAAAGCCAGACGTGAACCGTCCTACTGGGTGGGTTGATCCTACAGACTCAATCCATTTTCTTGATCATGGCAGTCCTTGTTTCCTTTCTCACTCCCACCCCACCCACCCAACAAAATGCTACCTAGCAATGTTTGTTTTTCTTTGTTATTTATGGTGGTGATGGAAGTGGTAAACCAAAGCTGATGAAAAGAAAAAAAAAAATACAAAATCAGATATGTAAACTTGTGTAAAACAAAGGGGATGGAAGGGAAGGAGTTAATTGAGAAGGGGACACTGACACACAGGCCCAAACCCAAGAAAAGAGATTAAACATGAACATAGGGATTTTTTTTTGGCTTCTTTTTTTTCTTTTGATTGTTTTTCATTGTTCTGTTGAAATTAAAGGATATGTGTGAGAAGGGAAAAAAAGTGAAACCATAAAAAAGAAAATAATGTAAAAAGAAGAGGAGGTGACTGGAAGGGAATGAGAAATACAGCAAGTTGAGAGAAACACAGAAAAAAAAAATTAATCCCATTCATCATCGCTCTCCGCTTCCTCCTCACTATCTTCACCCATAGTGCCTTTCCGTTTATTAAGAGCAGCGGCCAATGATGCAGCAAGATTACCGCCACCGCCACTCGCTCCTCCTCCATCATGGGCATCATCCGATCCGGCCGATCGAGTGGATTGAGAGAGCGGATTGGTAGGGCCCGTGGAGTGTGTAGAGGCACCCTGAGGAGTCTATTTGTTCGTGAGACATATCATTAGTTCTACGGACTGGCAGAGGAGGACAAAAATATTGAGAACTGGGGCGCAATACCTTTTTCAGTACATGGATGCCCTTGCCTTGTATGCTCGACAGTAAGTTCGCTCTAGATCCATCCGAAACGGGTGATATGGAGGAGGAAGGTACTGGTGGGGGCGGCGGGGCATTACTGGGCGGTGGGGGTGGTGCTGGCGGTGCTGGTGGGGGTGGTGCATTAGGTGGTGGGGGTGGGGGTGCATGACTGGATGGTGGTGGTGGTGGTGGTGGTGGAGCGGGTGGCGGCGGAGGTGCCATAGCTGGTGGCGGCGGTGCTGATGGTGGAGGAGGAGCCGACTTGACGGGTGCAGGTGGAGGAGGAGCGGTAGGGGGCGCAGGAGGGTTGCTGACGGGGGCGGATGGAGCAGGAGTGACTGGCATGGTTGGAGGAGGTCGAGAGGGGGCAGCAGAGGCGGGTGGGGCCCGGGAGGGAGCAGCAGGACTTTTCGTCATGGGCGCAGGAGTGGCTGGGTTGTGATTTTCATTCGATGTCCCAGTCCGACGTGTTGGGGCTGGTGGAGCTGGTGGCTTGACTCGCTTCGACGTGACCGGGTTGGCCGGTGGTACTCTCGTCGGGGGCGATGCCGATGTGTTATTATGCGAGCTTAGAACTTGGTCAATCCCGCCTGCTTGATTGACGTAGTCTTTGATAAACGATTCACTATTGTTTATCTCATCCTAAAAGTTATTAAAATCAGGGTGTTCTAGCATTAGTCTAGGGATGTTTTTGGTATTCAGTTGTTACCATCAACTGAGCGAGAAGTTACCGACTTTGCTAAATCCCATGTTTGTCAGATTTGTTAGTAGTTGTGCCCAAGAGGGATCCACATTTTCAGCCGTGAAACCAGCATTGGAGTCGTATCCCATGTGAGCTACTCGCTAAGTGAAACAGAGCAAGACGAAGCCGCAGGAATCAGGAAGTGTTTGGCTTGAGTTGTTAGCACGGATGATCAAACTGCTGCCTACTTTGAAGTCAGTGGGTGCGCTAATCATGCTTTTGTCTATCCCTCCCTTCTTCTTTCCACTGGGCGCAAGGACAGGGCTAGGAGCTGATACTGGGGCTTCAACAGGCTTGACCTTGGCTGCACTTTTACCTAGATAAACAAGTTGTCAGGATCAGTTAATAGGCGCCAGAAGGGAAAGGGAAGAATTGGAAACAAGGTTGCTTACTGATATGCTTTGATCGGTTGATGACCTTTTTGTGTATCGCTGAAGCCTCATCCTCATTGACAAAGACAAATGCAATCATACAGTCCTGGTTCAGATAATCAAGGCCGTAGCAACCAATGATTAGTTTAGAGACCTTTGTTTTTGGAAATGAACTAGAAATAGACATACATCACCCTGGAAAGTGTGCCAAAATGTGCGTTCTTGATGATAACCAAAATGGCCATGACCAGGTCTACCCGGGCCGTCTTCGTATACCTCATGTTCCCAGATGGTACCTCGAGTTCCAGAGATGTCGATCAATTTAAACCAGAAGCTTCCAGCGATGCCTGAGCTTGGGCGTCCAAAGACCAGCGCGCCTGAGAGACCTGTGTAAGACCACCTAAATATTTTTTGTGGAGAGAAATCATGATTTAGTTCCGAAAACTTCGGTATTTCAGATTTCACAAGTTGTCGGGGGCTGGTTGAGATTGATTGTGACTACACTTGTTGGGGTCCGGGTAGGCGTAGTATATCCGACATAGTCCAGCAGCAAGAATCTTGTTGTGATCAGAGGGAAGCACATGTTTGATGATGGCCTTCTCACTGGCGGTAAAACTTGATGAAGAAGGCATCGGTGTGGTAAAACCTTTTTTTTGTTTTTTATGAAGCTTGCCGATGGCTGATAAGTTGAGGGTGGTCGATTAGGAGGAAGTGTTCCGAACTAGTTGGCAAGCATTAAATAGTCGATCGGTGTTATTGTGCATGAGTTGACCGTCTTTGAAGTGACCAGGAAGGTGGAGGGGATGGCAAAAACTTTCAGGGATGGTCAACAGCATGGAACAGCCACTTACGTCAAGAGGTGCAAGTTTAAAGGGTTCACAGGGTGTTTAGACCACTTTCACACGATCTCCGCCCGCCGAGTTTGGAAAATACATTGTGACAGGTTTCCAACAAACACTGACCAGATCATTCAACCACAGCACATCAACAAATTAAGCCTCCAATAACCAAATTCTGGTTGTACTGCATATTTACCTAGCAAATTCTGATTCAGCAGGATTGAGCTGGGGTCGTCAAACGTGGTGCATGTTATACTTGCAGCCAGGGAGATGCAAAAGAGACACTTACTGACCAGATGATCCTGCATCAGCAGATACAGGTATGATGATACCACTGCAAATGTGATTATATCAGACTCCCACATCTGCCATTACATCAGATGAAAAATCTGATTATACAGTTGCGGATGGCAAAAACTGACCCTGGATTTGGAGGGTGTCCGAATATTTTCGCTGAAAAATCAGTTTTTTTTTGGAATTTACATGGTTTTGAAGCCCTTTTGAGGCCTAAGAGTGATAAAAAACTGGCTCAGAGTATTGAATAAACACTCCAAGTTGATGCTACAGGTGCTTGAAGGGGTATGAGCCATGAATAAGCCTAACTTAGTATGGCTTTTGGTATGCATGTCCGGATACATGTATGTCACACAATTAAAAAAAAGAACCGCTGCAGTAAAAGCTTAGCGGTTACAATTTTGAACTCTACAGATCTGTAGGAGTTCAAAATTGTAATAAAAATAAGTATTGGGGTACATGCCCCCCCCGGGCATAGACCCCGCGTATCAATTTTCAATTTTGCGGGCAGGGCATGGTCGGTTTTTGCCATCTGCAACTGTACATCAGGCAAAACTGGTATTATATCTATCAGGAGTGATATTGTATCTACCTACAACTATGTTATATCTATCATAACAGATATTGCATCAGCCCAACCTATTTAATGTCAACATAACTGATTTTATATCAGATTTTTAAATCTGATATAAATTTTTAGCCCATGGGCATTAAATCAGATGGAAAACTCTGATATGAATTCAGTTATGTTTAAATTGAATAGGGTGGTCCAATGTAATATCTTTCATGATAGACACAATATCATTTTAGGTAGATATAATATCAATTCTGGTAGATACAATCCCAGTTTTTCCTGATGTAATATCAGATATTTTTATCTGACATAATGCCAGATGTAGCAATCTGATACAATCATTTTGGCAGTGTACCAAGCCATGATCATATGTTTTGTTAATGCCCTAATAGCCTTTAAGTATGTGCAGTGGATATGGTTTTCCCTTTGTAAGAAAACTTGGTAGCTCACTTTCTACTTTCCAAACCACATCAATTGGACATACAGTCGACTCTGAGATAACCCATACCCCTTGGGAGAAAGGTTTTGGTATGGGGCAATAGAATCATGGCTTAGGGGTGAGATCTGTATTAGCCCATGATTCATGGGTTAAGGCATAAAGCTGTATTAACCCATGATTTTATGGGTTAACACAGATATTGTTCTTATGTTTTCTTTGATTTTGATATGGCTGTACTTGTGTAGCCCATATGCATCAGATTATTTGCTTGATCTATCTACAATTTATTTATTTATGTGATTATTCTGAGACAGGAACAGACTCTGAGGTAGAAAAGAAAAAAAATCACAGGTGGTCTCGGTCTTCAGAAGAGGTCCCGTGTTTGAAGAAGTCGTGTATGCTTGACTGGCGAGCATTTGCGATAAGTCAATCGGACAAACCTTTTGAGTAGTTGTGCAACGCGTGGTTGAGGTGATTGGCAACCATTGAATCTTCATCTTGAATGTAGTTGTTGATCAGAGCAATTGCAGAAAAAACCAATTTTGCTGTTGGTTTAACTCTTGGTTCAGGATCCTCATCATCGCTTTCGGAACCGACCGAGTTGTTTTTCTGACTTTCAAATATCTCTTCAGTGGTCCACATCGCAAAAGAATTGTCCTGAGGGGGGTCAAGTAACTCTTTGATGGTCATTCGATTGGTTGGATGAACAAGCCCAAAAGATTGGAGACGGCCAATCTGATCCTCTAGGCCAGCATGCACTTCATCGACATCCACAACCGTTCTTTTTGAATCGTTCGACAGGTTTCCAGGAAACATCTTGGTGTGATTCCAGCAATTGGCGATTGTTCTTGGGGTGACATTGTCCCATGCCACGCGACTTATGTGCATTGCAGTCAACTGATCTATAGCATAAACTTTAGTTACTGGTATTCCATCGTCGTATCGTTGAATTGATCGTGATATGAATCATTGCTTGTAGTGCGACTTGAACGCCGAAATTATGCCGGCATCCATTGGTTGAACATGCGCAGTCAGGTTGGGCGAAAAGAACTCAAGTCGGATATTTGAAAGGCCACCTTCTGGGAGAGTATGAGCAGCGAAGTTATCGACGAATAACATAATTTTTCGTTTTTTGTTTTTCATCTTCTGGTCAATTTTTTTGATCCAGTCTTCAAAGATGACACTTGTCATCCATGCACGCTGGTTGCTGTAGTATTCGAATCCAAGCTGCGCTCCTGTTTTCTTTTGAAAGGCACGGGGTTTTGCGTACTTGCCGATGATGAGGAGGGGAAGTTTCTCTGACCCATCAGCATTGGCTGTAACAGCAATGGTGATTCGGGTCTTGTTTCCTTTCAGTCCCGATCCATGTTCCTTAGCTAAGCCTCGATCTGGAGGCATTCTGAAACAAATGTTTGAGGATTAGAACCAAGCCAACTTAAAAAATTGCAGAAGAACCAACCCCTTACCCATACATAAGGCCTGTTTCATCCATATTCCAAATATCCTTCCGATCGTACTCTGTGACTAGTTTTTGCAACCGCTCGCGTTCAGTCAAAATGTCTAGTTCTTCTGCCTGTGCAGCTTCTCCATGTTTTTTGAAAGACTTCAAGCGGTGACGTGACTTGAACGAAGTCAGCCAACCATCGCTTAAGGATAACCACTGGGAAGAAGGAATCCCTTCTTTGCTGGCAAACTCCTGCCACTTTGCTCGGATAACATCACCGGTAATCATCATTTTTGAGTGGAGAGCTTGGGTGACCCAAACATCAAGCATTTTTTCTATTTCTGGGAAACGCGTGGAGCGTACACGTTTTGAATCCGACAATGATATCTTTGCTTGTTCTCGGATTCCGTCTTCGGCCTTGACCCAAGCAGAAATAAGGGGTTGCTTCAATGCGATATCTGGATAGATTTTATTGAAGTGAGATGCCGTCTTGGTTTGATTTGAGCCGTTATTTTTGTGCCAGTCAAGAATTTCAACCTTTTGTGCCAACGTAGCGCGACCAGGTTTTTGGGATGATTTAGACTTCACATTCATCTTAGATTTGACCGAGGTGTTGTGTTTTTCAGAAGGTCTTTTGCATGGTTTATTCTGAGGAGACGGTTGGTTCTTCTTCTTCTTCTTGTTGGCTGGAGTGCTCGGACCGTTGAACTTTTGAATGCGTTCGATTATTTTTAAATCATTAGGTTGGATCTTAAGTGAGTCGCCATTTGTTTTCAAGTTGGTTAATCGATCCATGAACAGTTGTTCCTCAACTAAGTTTCCTTCATTGTCCATCCATTCTTCTTCTGATTCATCGAGTTGTCCATTTTGTTGCTTCAGGCAAAGGTTCTTAAGTTTTGAGCTGGTTTCTTTTTTCAATTTCAAAAAACTTTCTTCCAGTTGATGAACAGAAGGAGGAACTCGTCGAATGAGTGAAGATGGGTGAATGTTTCACTGTTAGTGTAGTCTACAGTGGAGTTTATGGTTCTAAAGGAAATAATATTTGCATTGCGGAAGATGTAGTTGGGGATGGGATTGTGACCTTCCATTGGATGATGATGATTGTATGTTTTTGGTTGATACAAAGCACAAGAGATTTGTTCTGAGACTCGGAATCAGTTTGGCTTAAGATGAGAAGAAAGCTGAGACTGAGAAGCATGCATTTAATTTTATGTACATATTCAGAAAAATTTGAAATTGAAGGTGAAAAAAACCCATAATTTTCCGGTTTTTTTCTCAAAAAGGGTATGGGTTACTGCAGAATGCAGAGTTATGGGTTAAGACCCATTTTTCCCTGCCCACCAACTTGGGAGACAGATTTTCCTATGGGTTAATAGAAGTATGGGTTTTCTCAGCTATGGGTTATCTCAGAGTCGACTGTATGTACGTCTTTGTTCAATGGTTCAAAGAGCTCTTTAGGCAGTAGATTTTGTAGAGTGTGGATTGTTCTTTGGAGAGTTGAAGAAGTTTGATTTTTTTTTATATAAATTATGGTCTCATTTGATCTATTAAAACCAAAAGTTTCTTATCTTCATGACTCCTCCACAGTCCACAACACTCCTACACCTCCGAAACCAGCTCTGCCCCCAAATGGAGTTCTGTGCCCACCCCCATCCTGCACTGTCATCTATCTAGCACTGCATTAAGCCAAAATTGATGTTAATTTATCTGTCTAATCAATGCGAGTTCTATTCTGAAAACATCAAAAGTAATTTGAATGAAAATGGCCGTGGAAACCAAGCGAAATTGGAGCAAACTAAGAGCATCTGCATCGGTTGGCTATTTCCGCTTGAGCTAAGGACTTTAGCTACCAATGTCAACCACATCGGGTTAAGCTAACATCGAGCTAACCTGGCTATCAGCTAGATTTTCAGCTAACCCTTGCTACATGTAGCAATGGTTAGCTTTCGAGCTAGCTAAAAGCTAACCCGTGCCAACACTTCAATTCGGCACCCTCGCGCGAAAATACACACTTCAACTTCAAACTACACCGTCTCAAGCCACACCGATGTGGCTGACAGGTGGTCGCTATTGTAGTTTAACTATAGCTTCGAGTCAAAACCTGCTCGGTTTTAGCTCAACCGATGCAGATGCTCTAAGATGGCATGTACCATGGCACACTATTACTATTAAATCAAAATAAAGATGTCTTTGGATAATTAAAGTTCTATCAAAAGTTCTATTTAAATCTTGAGGGCATTAATTTATGTTAATGGAATGGAATGGATATTTAGGCTTTGATCAATTCGCCAGTTTGGTGAGGGAAAAGGGTATCAGGATCCTCGTCGTGAGTGTCCCAAGTTTTGACCCGGGACCAACCTCCCAAGTCCCTCAAGATTCGAAGACAAGGGACATCGAGTCGACAGCCGCCAAAGTAGATCGATCTAATCGGGGACCAAAACCTTTGCCAAGCGTGGATCCGAGGTGATGACTCATTGGGGACCAGTTCGTGGAATAAAATCTTGCCCGTCTTGGGCTTGAGTAGGGTCGCAATCACTTGAGAAATCGCTTGGTGATCTGACCTCCATCTGGAATAGTCTAGACGCTCCTGCTCGGGATGGAATATCGAGCAAAGTGAGAGGATCGATATGATCGTGTCGACCGATCCTGGTATCAGTTTCGGATGTTTAGAGTCTATCAGATGTTGCAGCTCATTGGCCGAATTCGGAAAAATCACACATTGTTGCGCTTTCAAGCCAGCTTTTTTGGCTTCAGTTCTAGGTGATGTAGGAATAGACAATCAAATTTAGTTAAACATTCGGAGCAGGCATACATCATTCTCTTTGAACGCAGGACTTATAGCTGAGCTTACCGAATAGCGGGGTGCATGGCCTGGTTTGGCTCACATGCGATGTATAGCGTCACCAGTCTAGAGTCAAGGTATCGAAGGGCATGGCCGAGCCCGGCCCCAACGTCAAGTACAACCCCAAAAGCTCGTCGTCTGATGAGTTCCAATTTCCTCTCCCGATGGAGTCTATCGGTATCTTCGGCCACGCGTCTCCATACATGGAAGAAGAAAGTTCGTGATATCCGAGCTCTGACATCCCGCCGATGTATTCCCCACATGCTGGGGTTGAACCAAATCGCGAGAAGCGTAGGAAAGAGCCCGTAGCGTATAGCGACTATCATCTCATTGAGCGGGTCGAAAGCGGTTGCGGGTATTGGAAGAAACCTGTACATAATTTGCTTTCAAATAGCGGTTGGCTGAGGAACGGGTTGGTGAGGGTCAGTTTCGCAAGAACGCGAGTGGTTGGTCGTCTTGAGTCCCATCCGCCACGTTTCTTTTCTACTAAACAAACAGAGGAGCTAAAGCAACACTGTGCCGGTGCTTAGAGACATGTAGTGACCGCTGTGATAGTTTGGGTGCCCAAAGCGGTACCGGAGACCGGAGTTGCATGTGCTAGCGTATGTTGTAGATTATCTGTTTTCTAGACCAAACTCAGGAAATCAAGAAACCTTAACAACCTCGGCGTAAAATAAACGCGGAGCGTCCCGTCTGAGCTGCATATTCTTAACGCAGTGCCAGCAACTCCGCCGACATAGCATTGGCTGGGTGTACACACGATTTCCCTTCAAGTCGATGCTATGCTCATACGCTGGGGTGGCTATGGCATTTAGCCACTACATATCAGGGAAATTGTTAAAGTGGTAAATGAGAATATGTCACCATCGGGTTGCATCAAGTATTCTCCATCAACTCCTACCAATGCAGAAACTACATGATGCGGTGTAGCCCAGACTCATTGCTGCCTGTCACTATCAGGACGATGGAAGATGAGCTAGGGCATCTCCTACTCATCAGCTAAGTGAGTCGAGGAGACTACTTATCAGATTTATTTTTCCACAAAAGATGATTTTGATTGACCATCAACATGCAAAAGGTACAGCCAACAAAAAATGGACAAATTGACCAATGCATGCTATGTAGCCCATATTTCGAGGAGGCAACAAGCAGTAAAGCGTGAGCGACAACGCGATACTCTGCACATCATATCAGACTATCAACCAGGTAGATTGAATGTGTATTATGTGGACATTGACCGAGAACTTGTCATCAAAGAAAGAAATTGATTCAACGGAGCAAGAAAAAAGAAATAAGGAATTTCTTGAAAAATTGCCTCTTGCCCCAAATGGCCTGGGTGTCGTCATCTGCCAGATCATTGTTTTCTAGACGTCTTCTCAGCAGATCAGGTGATTATCTTGAGTGAAACTTGTCTTGTGGGAAGGCCAACATTGACCTTACTCCAAGCCTCCTGTATATGAGTCTGACTGATGGTCTCCCTTTTACTCCCACTTTGTACTGTTGTTTTGAATTGACAAATTTGTTTTTTCAAATAGAACAAAACAAAATATCTCTTAACAGTTACGCATGCGAGTAGAGGTATAACAAGATGCAAATTTGTGTGGAAGAGAAACATTTCAATCTAGCTATCTCGGATCTCAAAAAAATACCATTCCAAATGATAATGGCTAGTTGGCATGAGCTTTTAATTTCTCAATCCAGATTACTACTATATTAATACTCATTTGCTCAAAAATCTTGAATCATCAATTCACTTTACAAACAAACTCTTGACAACTAGGGAAATGTCCAAATTGAATATAGAGGGTGATTTTGATGTGATGTGTACTCTGTTAAGAATTTATCATTCAAACTCCTAACTATCATACATGGCACTTGACCGGGATTTGTTTTGAAATAATTCTTAGTGTACAATGCTACGGGCACAATTACACTTAAAAATGGAAGGTAGATTGACAAAGGCGGTTGGTATGTGTATTGCTATTACTTGGATCCCGGAAAATTGATTTCGTTGTACCAATTCTGAAGCTCATGAATGGTGGAGCCTGAGGGTGCCTCAGATGCTGGCAGAGAACCGCTGACATCTGAAGAAGTCCCGAAAATGTAAGAGTTTTTTGGCTGAGGTTGTGCTTGTTCGAGATAGGTGATATTTGAAAAGTTGCACATCTTAACCGAGCCCATTTTGTCTGAACCGTGCCCCTCACCGGCTAAGGGAGGCATGATCGAGGTCATGTCAGGATATTCAACCGATAGAAGCATTGGCTGAGATGTCCCGCCGGGAGTTGGATGAGGGAATGGAGAGTCTGTGCCGGAGGACTGCGAAGCGATCGAGGCCTGCGAACAAGTATCCAAATTCTTGCGATCCATGGCAGTATGGCGTAGGGAGGAGAATTGCAATGAAGGAGTAGATTCAGGATGACCGTTGCTAGTGTTGATGGTCGGGGGAGGTTGGGATTGCATTTCAGGTGGAAGCGGCGAGGCGGAGTTGGGCAGACCATCGGAGGCAATCAAGTTGAAGGCTGTTTTGTAGGCATTCAAGTCCCGATTTTCCGCTTGTAGTTGATGAACGAGCTGCTTCAAACAACGATTCTCTTCTGCAAGAGGTTGCTGTTTTGCGACCAACGTTTCAATTCGGCCTTGGAGATCTTGGAGACGCTAATAAATGAATAAGAGAACACAGCGTGTTTAGTCCACGGCGAGATATTTGGATGACCGTGTTCAGCAATCCAAATTTTTGAACTGCTGACCTTCTCTTTCCTTTCTCGAAATGCTCGTTGGGCGTTTCTGCCGAAAGTAATACCAAATTTGGAGTAACAAGTTAGCACGTTTGGTCACTGAACCCGGTCTATTGATGAAGAGCCTCAACAAACCGATTTTGCTCCTTGCGTCTATTAACATCATTTTTTGTGTGATCAGATAGAGGATGGACAGGGAGTACATAAGTCCCATCTGCGCGGTGACTCGTTTGATTTTCCCCTCCAAAATCAGGGGTTTTGGGGGTTGGAGGCAAGTCAGAGGAAGGTGATCTAAGATCCGCCAAAGAGATCACGGTACCCGAAGACACAGTTTTCCGGTTCAAGGGTCCATTCAGGCATGCACTTAGAGTGGAGTACGCTGGATCGGAGGGGAGACCAGCGCTAGCAGAAGTCGGAGAGATAGGGTCCGGGACGTCCGAAGGAGACATCTGTTCAAATCAAGTCAAGAAATGATGAGTGGTTAGGGAAGAATGTCAGTTCACAGTTTGCAAGTAACCTTAGCCGTCGACTCTGAGGGAACCAAGAGAACTCAAGCTGATGAAGTCGAGTAGACCAGATGCTCTAGAAAAGCAGGCAGCCACCTCAAAAATTCTCAGTCACATCTTTAATTGCCACGATAACAACCAGCAAGAACCAGCAACAAACCGTTGGAATTCACTGAGAACAAGCCGTTTCTGAGTGGTGCCCGAGGAACTGCGGCAAAATCAAGCCAACACCTAATATGAGGAGAGGCGAGGCCGGATATATACGATGGACATCAATCCAGGAGCACCGAACAAATGGTGGTGAGTAATGAGCTTGCAGCCAACTTTGTAGACTAAGGAAATTGTGTGCGAGATCCATTCATCTCCAAGAGATGCTAATTGTAAGAGTGCAGTAACTTTTATGTCATCGAGCGAAGTCTCACTGACTCTCTGGACCTCTTCCGTGATCTCTCGTGGCCGGGTGGGAGTGGCACTGTGGCAGAGAAGAAGGACGAGCATGTTTATTTATGTAAACACGCAGACTCGATCTTCACATCAGACTGGATGCGATTAGAGACTGAAGATCGCATTGTCATGTATGCATGGCACTTGACAAATATTTTCAATTTCTTCCATCTACCAGAACAAGAGTGGGTAAAAAAGGGCAAGCTGCTCCCAGTTAAGTTGATCTGCTTATTTATGTTACGGTTATAAACATGGTTAAACGTGAACTTGCCAAGTTCATACACAATTGAGGAGCATTCCGGAGTTCGGAATCATGTATCTCATCCGCCTTCGTTTGTCCGTCTTAATCGATTGCCGGTGCCACTCCGGCAATCATCAGATTCCCCGGGCATCGAGCGGAGAGTGGACATAACCAATCGTCTTGGGTGATGAAATCTCTCATCCAATCAGGGCTGGGCGGTCTAGGCGGCCCCGAAATTGGGAATAGCCGAGTCCAGACTCATCAGCCTTTTTTTTAAAAAAAGTGCTATTAAAGATAGCTCAAGGACAAGGTGGGCTGAACTCGAGTCTCGAGATGGCACTTCTCGGTGTTGGCCTTGATCCTGTAAGACGTCAAGAGCAACTCGGATTGCGCTGCCCACACCTCTCAAACAAAGTGAATCAAAACGACAATGCCCCAATCATGGGGGTTTGACTTTGTTCAAGGGAGGCAAGACGTGCAAACTAGAGGAGATCCTAGCCCAAATCTGCAAGACTGAGTACATGCACTCCCCCGTGGAGGTATA